ATTAAAAAGTCAGTAACATTGGAATTAATGATTTAGTTAGAGTACAGCATGCATATTTACCAAAAACTATAGTGGTAATTCTACTTTCCCTGTCTCCTCCATATATATGTATCTACTTGGCGTTGACTGGCTATTTTGAATCCTTGTATTGTATCTCTCACTAGTCCTAAAAACTTTGTAATCATTGGTTCCTTACATAATGTCTTCATCATTTTGTAATTTTCTATCCCAAACACATTAAAGTATATTTGGATTGTTTTCTATTTCTTCCCCTTCGTAAAATTTTTAATTAATTTTTCAGTGCTAACCTAATTTTTTTGTTTCTGATTTGCTATTAATCTTATCCATTACTGTAGATAAGAACAAAGGAGAACTGAATTAAAAATAAACCATTGTAATACTGTATAATATTTCAGTGAGGAAACAAAGTATATTTTCAAGACATTAGAATAGGTATCCAATTAGACTGAGGGGTACTATGGAAAATGTCCTGGAGAAAGTGATGTTTAAGTTATTGGTAGTATGGAGGAGTGCATTTCATTTCTCTGTGAAGCATCAGGAAATTTTAACTGAGCATAGAATTTGACAGAAAATAGCAGTGGAAGGTCAGCTTGGGAACCTTTAATGCCTAGTTGGAGTTGAGTGTTTATCTGGTAGAGATGTCATTAAAAAATATTTCAGTGAAAGAATTAGTCCTGTCTACTGTCCGACATCTTAAAACAGTAATTTGTGCTGGAGAGATGGCTTGGCTGAAGAGCACTGGCTTCTCTTGCAGAGGACCCACGTTCAGTTCCCAGCACCCATATGGTAGCTAACAGCTGTCTGTGACTCAAGTTCCAGGGGATCTGATACCCTTTTCTGGCCTCTGCAGGTATTGTATAACCTAGGTACACTTACATACATTCAGGTAAAACACATAAAATAAAAATTTCAAGAAACATAGCAGTTTATGTTGGTTAGTGTATTAGTTACTTTTATTGTGGTATAAGACACCGTGACCAAGGCAACTTAGAGAAGGAGGAGTTTATTTGGCTTGTGGTTCCAGGGGAGAATCCATAATGGTGGGGAAGGATGTCAGCAAAGTGGCCAGAGCAGAAAGCTGTGCGCTCACATCTTCAAGCAGGCACAGGAAACAGAGAGAGACTGGAAATCTTGCAAGACTTAAGAACTCTTAAAGCCCACCCCCAGTGATGGGGGCCACCAACTGGGGATAAACTGTTCAAATACTTGAAGACCATTGAGGACATTCTCTTTCAAACCACCAGTTAGTGTTCATAAGACACTATGATTTCATTTGCCTAACTTCTGATGATTTGTCTCCTGTAACTTAAATTAACAAAACTTCTGATATACAAACATTAAACCAAATTTGTATATCATTAAATTATATGATGATGTTTAGAAGATTAGAAGTATGCATTATTTCTCCACCCTCCAAATAAAACCCATTTTCTTACTTAAAATTTTTTTTATGTACTTTTAAGTAGCAAAGTGTGAATTTAAGAGTAAATTCATGTCAGATATAGTGTTTCATGCCTGTACTCCCAGCACTCTGGAGGTTGAGTCAGAAGAATCATAAGTTTGAGGCCAGCCTGGCTAGGTGGTAAATTTTAGCCTAGCCTGAGCTACAATAGTGAAACTCATCTCAAAAAAAGAAAAGTTGATATAGGTTTTTTTTTTCCTTGTAATTTAAATACAGTCTTAGTTTAGAAAACTAATTTTCACTTATAAACAAGTATTTTTAAATTTTCCTTTAAATTTTCTTACATTTTATGTATTTATTTATTTTTTATGTATAGTTTTGTGTAGGTGTATATACACATGTGCACCACAGTATGCTGGTGGTCAGAGGACAACTTTCACGAATCATTCTCTCCTTGTATCATGTGTGTCCTGGGGATTTAACTCTGGTCATTGGGCTTGGTAGCAAGTGCCTTTACCCATTTGAGCCATCTTGTCGGCCCAAATTTTCTTTTTTAAAATGAAATGAACATTAATGAAGAGGTCTGATTACCACTGTTTTGAAATTTATTTCACTGTGAAGAAAAGATCTATGACAAATATGTCAATTTCATTTGTTTTCTAATGCTGTGAATTACCAGTCACCTGTAAGGACAAAATGAGAACAGTAGCAAGTAGGAAAGCATGCAAAGTCCCTTTCTCTCCCCCTTTCCCCCACCCCAGCAGGGTCTCACTTTGTGGAATTCCTACACTGGAATTCATTGTATAGCCCATACTACCCTCAGCCCACGCTGCCTTCAGCCTCACTGTGATCTTCCTGTGTTATCATCCTGAGTGCTGGGATTCAGGCATAAGACCACACCTTTTCTCTAATTGCTAAGTTGGGAAAAAAAGGAGCAGTTTATAAAATAAAATGCACCAGAAGATGGTGTTTGCATTTGTGACCTTTGCAAATTACTTTTCTTCCCATCATAGTTTGGTTTTATTGATTTTTAAAATATATATTTTTTTAATTTATTTTACTTTATGAGTATATTTCCTGTGTGTGTATAAGTGTACCTGTGTTGTGCAATGCCCAAGGAGGTCAGAAGGGAGCATCGGATCCCCTGGAGCTTTGTGGGTGCTGGGATTTGAACTCTGCTAGAACAGTCATTGTTCTTAACTACTGAACCATCTCTTTAGCCCCTCCTGTTTGATTTTTGAGACAGAATTTCACCATGTACCCTCAGCTGGCCTAGAACTCAGTATGTAGGTCTTCCCAGGCTGGCCTTTCTTTGCCTCCCGAGTGCTGGACTAAAGGCATGCACCACCATGCCAGGCTTGTTGTTTTTGTTGTTTGTTGTTGTTTCTTTTTTTTTAACCAGATTGTATTGTAAACCTTTGTGAGTTTCTGTGAAAAATGAACAGGTACCCAAGTTACTTAGCTGAGCCTTGACTTGTAATTTTACTAAGCCCTTAGTGTGTTAGTATGCTTAGTATGATCTAAGCTCGTGCAGGCTTTCTCTTCACAATAACCAACATTTTGTGACTAAGGAAACTTGAACCTCACTAATAAGTAGCAGTCACAGGACTAACTCTGAAATTCTGACCCCAGAGGCCTAACTCAACTATTCTCATTCAGAACAAGAAAAATCCTTCTTATGCTGAGAACAGTGTACACTATTAAAATTTTACAGGCTTAAATCAGTGGATATTTCAGTATAATAGTGTCTCTACCAAAGTGTAATAAAACTTTGTGTATATGTTCCAGAGACAAAGAACTTCATTGCAGCTTAAGGCAAATCATGTCACTGGTAGATAACCCAAAGTACAAGGAATTTATCTTGTGATACAGTTTTTTCCCCATCACCTTTTTTTGCACTTTATTAGTCAGGGTTCTCTAAAGAAACAGAACTGGCAGAATGAATATATATAGAGATTTATCAGCTTAGCTCACAGAATAGAGTCCGAGTAGTCCAACAATGGCTGCACCACACTGGAGAGGCTGAGAATCGTAGTCGCTTAGTCTACAAGGCTGGGTGCCTCAGTAGTCTCAATCTGGCACTGAAGGTCTGACAAATTCCTAAAGATCAGCTAGCCTTCAGCCTACAGCAGCAAGACGAACTCACCAGCGAGAGAGAAGGCAAGCAGCAAGAAGCCTGGTGTTCTCCTCTGCCTTGGCCTTTTATACCGGTTGCCATCAGAAGGTAACACCCACATTTAGGGTGTGTCTTCCGGCTTTAGATGATCCAATCAAGTTGACACCCAGGATTAGCCATCACAGCATTGATTCTGATTCTCTGCCCTGTGGGGAAATAGGAAGTGGGCAGCTTTCATTTCATTTAAAGACAAGTGTTTAAATGTTTAGACAGGAATGAGTCACCAAGGACATAAATGTTTTAATCTCTCTATCCCTCCCTACTACATTTTGATAGAAATTGACCAATGTCCTTTAGCCATTTTCATTGTAGTTGAATATTCTTCGTAAAAAACAAAATGTGAAAGTTGTGTGCATGTACTTAATTTATTAGTAATTAATACCAGTAACATATTTCAAGAACTCTTATTTAGTTCTGTTTACAAAGAATTACCATAATGGAATTTGTGTAATATTTAGATATGCTTTATTCTCTTATCAATTATGTAACAGAAAGGAATTTAGTTAATGAATAGACTAGTCAAATTGCTTTCATTTAACATAAAAGAAGTAATGGGACTAGAGAGATGGCTCAGTGATTTAAGAGCACAAGCTGCCCTTGCAGAGGATCTGAGTTCAATTCCTAGCACCCATATCAGGTAGCTCACAACCACATGCAACTCCAACTACAGAGAGATTCAGCACCTCTGGTTTCTGAGGGCATTTGCACTTGTGCACATACTCAGCTATGTAGCCCAGACTGACCTCAGATTTGTAGCAATCCTCCTGCCTTGCCCTCCTGAATGTTGGTATTACAGGCGTGAACCTCCATGCCCAGACCCAATGTGGTCATTCTATAGGGAGTGAATCTGCTTTATAAAGTAGGTAGTCCTGCAACTCAAATAGTTCCTTTGCTTGAGCGGGTTGAATGCTTTTTGTTTTAAAGATTTATTTATTTTTATTTTATGTATATGAGTGTTTTGTGTGCATGTAATTAAGTGCACCCCATGCATGCAATTCCCACTGAGGCCAGTAGAGGCCAGTGATCCTCTGGAACTGGAGTTACAGCTGGTTGTTAGCCACGAGGTTGAGGCTGGGAACTGAAACTCAGTCCTTTGCAAGAGCAGCAAGTGCTCTCAACTACTGAGCTATTTCTCCAGCCCTTGTGAATTCTTGTGTTTTTTTTTATAAACATAAGGAGAGCCCATAAAGGTGATGTCAAGCTTGTTTCAAACTGGTCTTTATTCTTTGAATATATTAACTTACAGGTTTTCAATGTTTAATAGTGTATATTATATGCTATAGTGGGTTTTATTTTTGCCATTTTCACACATGCATATAACATACTTTGATCATATACAAAACATTCCGTTTTCAAGCAGCAGTTGATCCTAATAACATTAGCATAATATTTTATATGCAGATTGCCCAAGGACTCCAGATACGCCAAATAGTGACTCTCGTAGTTCTACTAGCAACAATAGATTGATGGCCTTACAAAAACAATTGGATATAGAACTCAAAGTAAAACAAGGTGCAGAGAACATGATACAGATGTATTCAAATGGGTCTTCAAAGGTAAGTAAGTCCCTGGTATTTGTAGATTCTATCTTTGTGAGTTTGCCTGCTCCCTAAAATTAGTTACCCCAGTATCAGTAATGAGACCAGTTTGGTGCCATTGGTGAAAGGAGAGAAAATTTAGGCCTTTTGCATGTTCCTTGCTGAAGTCAGCAAGGTAGTACCTGCCTTTTGAAACTCTCCCACCATAAATAAGCATCCTTTTAAATTCCATTAAGTGTCACATTTTTGTGGTTTGGGTTGGTAATTTCAGAGTTTAAGCAATCTATAATGATTTCTGAGACAATTGTAGCCTCAAAATTGGAAAATATACTAAAAAAATGGAAACAATTTTTTTTTTAAAAACAGTATTCTAAAACTTGATTTTTCTACCAAAACCCAGTTAATCATAAAGCTGGTTGTATGAGTAAAGGGCATGACGGAGTTCTCTGTATCTGCATCTTTTCTGTAAATATAAAATTACTTCAAATCAGAAAGATTCCTGTGCTGGATAGCATTAGTGTCAATGCTGGGTTGACACACCTGGGTTGAGGGGCCTCAGTTGGGGAATTACCTCCATTGAACTGGCCTGTGGCCATGTCTGTGGGGTATTTTCTTGGCTGTTGAGTGATGTGGGAGGGCCCAGCCCTCTGTGGGTGATGCCATAGGGGGCAGGTGGTCCCGTATTGTATATGAAAGCAGGCTGAGTGAGTATAGGCCAGGGGAGCAAGCCAGTAAGCAGCATTCCTTCATGGCCTGTGCTCCAGCCCCTACCTCCAGGTTCCTGCCCTGAGTTCTTACCTTGGGCTCCCTGATGAACTGTGACCCAGGAGATATAAGCCAAATAAACCCTTTCCTCACCAAGTTGGTATTGGTCAGAAAGTTTTGTCACAGTAGTTGAAAGCAAACTAGAACAATTCCTTAAAAAATTTAGGCTGTAATGAATTTCCCAACACCACCTGCAGGTTTTTGGTAAAGCATGGGTGAAAACTAACACTCCAGCACCATTGGTTAGTTAACCTTGATAGGTTCTTAGGAATTCAGTATACCTCCCATGTGAAACTCAGTGTTTGGTAGAGCAACTATTAGTAATGAGAACATATCCTTGTAGGATTAACGTAACAGAAATAAAAGGTTGGGAACCCCTGAGTCCTGTATCCTGAATGTTCTTTCCAACATAGGGTTTTATAGTTTTTATGATTCTAGAAATCTAAGATGTATTTATTATAAAATCTACCTATCTAATCTC